CCTGATAGGCCCTTCCTGCAGAGTTCAAACAACTAAGCTTAGACTCTTCACCAGAAAAGCTTTTCTGGTGAAGGGTCTGGGCCCGAAGCGTCGGCCTCTCTGCTCCTGTGATGCTGCTTGGCCTGCTGTGTTCATCCAGCCCTGCACCTTGTTGTCTCTAACCTCAATCTTGTGTTGACTTTCAGATTTAGCCCTCCTTCCCATAATTATCCCCTTATCTGCTGTGCCTGAAGTTAGATTCCTGATCTTTTCCATACTCTCTGTCCTATTACTTGTTCTGAAAACTTCAATAACCTCTGCTGAGCCCTCCTCCGCTTTAACATTTTCCATCATTTTCCATGCAACTGAACCCACTCCCCCCACGATTTAGTTTAAAGCCCTATCCACAGCCCGAGTTAGAACTAGGCCAGTCAGCCCATTGAGCCTGTTCTGCCATTCTAGACCATGGCTGATCATTTACCTTGACACATTATTTCCACGTTATCCCCATATCCCTTGATCTAATTAGTCTATCAAACTTTTTCTTGAATTTACTTAATGACTGCATTTTCACAGCCCTCTTGGGTAGAGAATGCTAAAAATTCATACGCTCAGTGTGAAAAAGTACCTTCTCATTTCAGTCCTAAATGGCTTGCCTTTTATTTTTAAACAGTGTCCCTTTCCACAATCAAAGGAAACTTCCTTTCTGCACATACACTGCCTCCCCCTTGAAGAATTTTGTAAGTTTCAATACGATCACCTCTCATTCTTCTAAACTTGAGAGAATATAGGGCCAGTCTCCTCAATCTCCTATTGTAGGACAATCCCACCATCCCAGGAATCAGTCTAGTGAGCCTCTGCTGAAGTCCCTATATGGCAAGTTTATTCTTCTTTAGCCAAGGGGGGCAAAATTTGGACATGCTACAGCTGGCATTGGTGCAGTGGTAATGCTACTGGAATAGAAAATCCAGGCTCCAATCTCATGTTCTGGGGATGTGGGTTCAAGTCTGACCAAGGCAATATGTGGAATTTGAATTCATTAAAAATAAATCTTAAGTTATAAAGAGATGTGAAATATTGATTGTTGTAAAAATTCACCTCGTTCACTACTCTCCTTCATGGAAGGAAATCTGGTCTGGTCTACATATAACTCTAGACCCACAGCAATGCGGTTTACTCCTATTTGCTCTCTGGGCAGGTCGGCAATAAAGGCTGGCCGAGCCAGTGATATCCACATCCTGTAAAAAAAGTATAGAGAAACAAAACACAATATTCTGGGATAGTAGGAACTGCAGATGCTGGAGAATCCCAGACAACAAGGTGCAGGGCTGGATGAACACCGCAGGCCAAGCAGCATCATAGGAGCAGAAAGTCTGGGTGTGGTCTCACCAGTGTTTAATACATTTGAAGCAACATTTCTTTACTGTCTGCTTCCTGCTGGCTATCTTTCGATCTAGCTGCACCTAGGGAATTTTGAAAAATCATAACCAGCATTTCGGCTGTATTTGCAACTATATCTTTTAGGACAGGAGAACACAGGTCATTGGGTCCTGCGGACTTGTTGGATTTTATTCCCTTGAGTTTGTCCAGCACGTTTTTTACTCTGCAAGTATTAATTATCTTAATTTCACCATTCTTATGAGCCCAACGTTATCCATTTTTTCCTGGTTTACAACTTGCATGGTCTACGGAGAAGACATACAAAATATTTGTCTCTTCCACTTCTTCATTATGATCATTTCTTCTGTCTCTAATAAGTGTTCAATATCATAGTTTGTGTCACGACATAGGTCATATCTGCACAGTAGCCAATGTGCTGAGAATTTGTACTTGTTTTATCCGCTTTTTAGTTTTTTTGTGTGTTCCATTTTACAAAGCTTTGTGGTAAACAAGGTTAGTCTATTATATAACTATTGCTGGGAGCCACGAAGTTAAAAATATGAAGCTATTAGTTAAAATGCAGATACAAAAAGTGGCATCTGCTTTGAAAAAAATCCCAGCTATGCTTATTCGTCTCGTCGGACAATCCTTTGCCAGTTTAGTCAGCTCTCTCGCTGTCTGGACAAGATCTTTATAACTGACCTGAAAATTATGCATTTTTCAAGACCACTCTTACACATCGCCCGTTTGTGTGAAGGGATACGCTGAATATTTTTTAAATGCCAATTTCGGACGAGTTTGTTTCGAAACGAACAAAGTTAATAAAAGTTGTCTCAAACTAGTGCAGCGACGAGTTGCGAGCGTAAAACACAGAAAGAAAAAGGCTTCCAACGTTGCCTGAGAGATCCTTTCCCCTTTCTGACTGCGTTGGAAAGTTGGGCGATCTTCCTCGCTCAGAAAGGGGGAGAGAGAGAGAGACTCCGCGATTGCGGGACTGGCCTCCGGGGTGGAGGCGGGCGTTAGGACCCGGCTGAGGGCGGGGCTTCATTTACAGGGAGGTGGGGGGGGGGCGGGGGGGGAGGTGTGGCGCATGCGCCTTACCCAGTCTGGAGCAGAGTGCGAGTGAGTTGCTGGAATTGAGCAGGAGCCTGGGCAGAAAGTGGGAAACACACAGAGAAGGAAAGAGTTGGATTAAAACAACTGCTCTCCCCCCCACCCCCGCCAAGCACTGGGAGGAAGTGCAGTGTGCCCTCAAATTGGATTACTTCCAGCCACTGGGGCTTCTTCCTCTCTGAACCTTTTTATTGTTTCCCTTTTGTTTGGGGAAATCCAGGGGACACAGATGTTTGTGGAAAGCTGAGGCGATGGTTTCTGCAGCAGGAACTCGGGAGCTTGCCTCGCAGAAGCTGGTGCTGCCTCCGCCACAGCCCGGGACGGTGCTGCTGCTGTTCCAAGTTTCTGTGTGAGGAAGGGAACTGAGATTCTTATGATCCTCTTCATCACCTGTTTGTGCCCTGTGTCCTGAGGCAGTTCTGCTGGCTCTCTCCCGCTCCAAATCTAAACCAAATAAACACCATGTCGAAAGTGATTCAGAAGAAAAACCACTGGACCACCAAAGTGCACGAAAGCGTGGTCGCCAAGAACAAGCAAGGGGAGCTGCCTTTTGTCATCTCAGGTGGGGCTGAGAGTGGAGAGTTTTCCTACTTGCGGGAGGCAAACCAGGATCAGATCGTTTACAGCTCCGGCGAGCTGAGGGAAGGCGAGTTGCTGCTGGAAGTTGATGGAGTCCATGTGTCCGGGCTGCCCCTCTATGATGTCCGCGCCCTGGTCAGGAGCTGCAAGGGGCCGATCCGCCTGAAAACTGTCAAACAAGGTATGATCCCAGGCCAGTGCATCTCACTACACACCACCAGATACGGTGGCGTGCACTAGAGGCTGCGCTAGCTTTACACACACAAACACACATATACACACCCACCTGAGTCGCTATCGTCTCAAACACGGGGATCAGGTGGTCGGTGGTCGATTTTTTTGTTGATTGTTCACCTGATTACTGTACTGTGCCGACCATGGTTGCAAATCCCACCCTGATACATGAACCAAAAATTCCACCAGTTTGCTTGACAATGATCAACTGGGTGTTGGTGGTGTTTGTGTAGAGAGGTAGAATTCATTGGTCTGCTGGGATTGTGTAGCGTTCTAAGTTTATAAAGCACTTGGAAGATGCCCAGGTTTATTCAAGTGGACTAACACCAGTGAATCGTGAAGAAATGCTGAAGGCTACTGCTGGCTAGTCTCCTCTTGGCACTGCTGTAATCCAGGAGAGTAGCAACTTCAAATCTGCTTATAAATACCAGCGTGAATCAAGAGTTTACACTAATTTACTGAAATGACCTACTAGCTTCATAACAGGGTCCTTTTCACTGTACTTATTTCAGTACACAATGTTTACTTATACTTTGTCATCTTCAAATCTTTTAAATAACAAGACTTGTCCAGAATAAGTTCAACAGCCTGACAAACTTTGCTTGTTGAAACAAAGGTTGACATTCATGTAGTATCTTTCATGACTTCCAAAGTACGTTTGAAATGCAGTCACTCTTGTAACACAGGAGACACCACAGCTAATTTGAACACAGCAAACTCCCATAAATAGCAACGAGTAATGACCAGGTATTCTGTTTTTGTAATGTTGATTAAAGGATAAATTTTGACCTGGACATGAGGATAACCGCCCAGCTCTTTGTTAAAATTGTTCAGTGTGACCTTTCACATCTTCCTGCAAGCAAATCGGATCTTGGTTTCATATCTTATCTAAGAGGCAGTCCTCCAGTGGAGTGTCATCTGACTTTTTATTCTAGAATGGGACTTGTGGTTTTCTGACTGAGCAGCAAGTGTGTTATCAATTCAGCTGTGAGGAATCTTTATATCTTAGTACTCTGTACAAGTCTTGATCTCGGGTCTCCTGCAAAAATGAACATTTTCTTCATTGACCTTATTGGGAATGTTTTTAAACTTTTAATAATTGCTAATTTTAGTAATTGCTTTATGCAAATAAATAAATTATAAGAAATGAGTACCAGTTAGCAAGTTTTATTGGTGGTTAAATAGTATTCAAATTGAAATGAAGTATTTATTGTGCCCTGCAAGAGAAACTAAACCTGGAAAATGTTGGTGATCTGTCTTTAATTTGGCAACAAGTGATATCGCAATTAATTCTGACTCTGGGGTCTCTGTAGAAATGCATTATAACCCGTGTCTATGAATTCATTGCTGTCTACAGCATATGCTTAAGAAGGAATGTGTTCACCAACCTGTAGAGGAACGGCCTGCATATCCCCATTTTTGTAAACATAAAACAAATTCATTCTCATGTGTCTTGTGTAAGGAACAGGAAGACTCAAGCTTGGAGGAATTGATTTGGAAACCCAACCCTATTGACCTTAAGGCTATAAAGACAATGTGGTCTGGTGGGTTCAACAGGTTGGGGATGATGGGGAAGAGAGAGGATTTTGAACTTTTACTATCTAAAGTTATGAGCAGAGTTCTGTTTCAAGGCCGTAGTACATTACAAAGATTCTGATGACAAACTGTAAAATCAAAACTTTTGCAATTTGTCATCAGACTGTATGTTGTTTGAATATGTCTTGGCACATAAAGTATGTTCTCTATACACTGCATAGAAAAAATAATTTCTTATTTCATAAATTGGAAGCAAAACTTTATAGTACAATTAGAGTTTGTAGTTGTCCATTTTACCCATTTTTTTTTCTTCCAGTAGCATTGTAGTAATTACAGAGCTCAGACATAATGTAATTGACGTGTTGTTGTTATTCAGTGAAACCTTGCTTTTGTTAAACAAAAGCAACAGTCTTACCACCCCGCCTCCTTTTTGCTGAATACAACCAGCGTGATTATGTTTTTACAGACATGGTGAATTTGATTGATCATATTGCATGAATAAATGGAAATGCACCGAAACAAGTGGTTTTCAGACCGATTTGAATTACATTGGTTATATTTAGAGCTTTAAAGATGATGTTACCATTAATGGTACATTCTCACATTTTGTTATTTGAATAAATATGGGTCACTTGTCCAAGGTTCAAAGCACATTCTAAGAAACAGATTTTGTATCAAAACTTGGAATTCTCGGTGTCAAGAGTTCAGAAAAACATACTTTAAATGAAATAGGGCCAGTTTGTGAACATTGAAGTGGTTGAATAACTAAATAATTTCACAGTGTGATGCAAACTCTCATTCTGGCTGAGCAGCAGCTTTTCTTTAAGGATGGTAGGATTACAAGACATTTTATCACCTTCAAACAGAAAGCCACTGTATATTCATCCTGTCACAGTTAAAGGACAGAGTCCAATGTTTCATGCTACTGTTTTTGTAGTAATGTCTGCTGAATTCACCATGGCTTTATATGTTTGCAAAAGCTTGAACCCAAGTGATTGCTTCTAAAACAGAGATTATACCAAGATGATCTAATGAGCAGTATTAACAATGGAGTTAGTGAACCATCAGCTATTGAGGGTAATCTATGTAGTTAAAACCCTTTTACTATCTCTTGTGATCAGTTTGTGATCACGAAGACTGCTACCTATTGACTTATGAAAAGCCTGATCCTTCTCCTGAGTCGCTTGCACTGATGCCGTGGTTCAAGGATCACTTTCCAAATGGAAAAATAAGCCTTTGTTTTTTGTTCTGCTTCTTTGATGGTCACATTTAGTGTTACTGGACAACTCAGGTAAAGAAACACAGAGAAAAAATAATAAGCTGTTTATCTCCTGTTCTGCCATTAAACTAAATCACACTGTTTATACCCAGATTTTATTTACTCACCTTACTTCCATGTCCTTTTATATTTTTACTGAACAAACATCTGCTGATATTCCATCCCAGCAACCACACATTTTCCGAAGTGACTGTCAGATGGGCACAACTTCGGTGTTCAAAATAGTGATTTAATTACTAAATAGCTGAACCCTAATTTTAAGATTATGCTTTCTACTGGATTTCCTATCATAAGAACGAGTTTCTCGATAACAACATCATAGAAGCTCTTAAACAAATTTAAATGCTTAAATTAAATCATCACGATTTAGCTCAAGGGAATACAAGCCAATTTCCTGCAAGGTACCTTCAATCTTTTGAAGTCACAATGTCATTCTGGTGAAGAAAGCTACAAATTCAATATCTGGTCTGAGTTAGGTATTCCACTTTGAGTCAGTAGTTGGTGTAATCTCCGTGACTCAAGTGTTTCCAGCTTTTGTACTCCTTATTTCTGTTCAGTGACTTCCTCTGACAGTATTGATGTGGATTTTATGAACTGATGACCTGCTCATTTGAAGTCACTATCTAGTTTCATCCACTGTAAAAAGACCACTTGGTTAAGTGGCACAGTTTTGAGGGGTGTGGTTGAGATTGCTATTGATAATTATAGATCTAGGCTCTGACATCATTAAGAGCTTTCAGGAGTGAAAGGGTGATCACTGAGAAATAAAAATGCTTCTTGGTCTGCAAGACAGATTTCCATCATGGAGAACCTTTGGTTGTTATAAGTCAGTGAAAAGCATGTAACAGCAACTTGTATTTTAGAAAATATCTTTAACATGGAAAGACCCATCAAGACTCTTCCTAAAGTATAATCCAATTGATTTTGAGCTAAAGAAGAGGTGTTAGAAGAAATGAGGGGTGTATTTCACAGAAGATCTTAAAGGAACAATGAGAATTGCAAAGGTGGAGAGGTTTAAGAGTTGGACTTCTGGAGCAATAAGGGTCTGGATGACTTTACTCAAACAGGAGAGAGTTGGAGGAACGCAGAGTCCGAGGAGATTTGGAGCCCTAGAGGAGGTTATCCATATAGTAAAAGGTGAAAGAAACTGTTTGAGTACAAGGATGAGAACTACTATTTTTTTGTATTATTTTTGTGTGGTTAGTTGGAAATAGTGAGAATGCCCAGTGTGCTGGAGGTTGGAAGATTTACTTTCTGCCTGTATAACTAGTTCCAAGGTTATCCAGAGGTCACTTGAAATAGTGACATAATCGTGTTCACTTATCTCATATGGGATTAGTAGACTGGCTGAGTAGGACTGTTTACTATTCCGTGGTTGCATCTGATTTCAAAACTGAAGCTTGAGCAGTTGTGCTGTAGTTCTCTAAGGGGTTTAGTTCTTGATTTTATTCCTGAGAAGTCTTGGGGTGCAGTTCTTTTTGACATTATTTCAAATATTTAGCTTGCAGCTTCTGTACTTACTGGCCTTTCAAGTTTTTACAGTCGTACTATTTTGTTCACGTTGGAATTATGAGGTGGAAACTTGGGGTATAGGTCAAAAAGCTTGGGTCATGTCTAAAATACTGCCTGCGGTGGAGGTGGAGAAAGATGGGTGAAAGAAACTGAAATGAGGATGCACGTGTCATACATATGCTAAAACTATATAATACTTGAACTGCTGAGAGAGTCATTTTATTCTATCTGCTTATTTTCCTTTTGGTACATACTTGTGCACGTGAAATTAGATGATTGCATGTGTGTATACATGTGATTTACAGCCATTAATTGCTTCTGTTCGGTGTTGAATTCCATCTTGTAGTTTGGTGTTCTGGAGCAATAACGCAGTAATATCACTGCTAATGACAGCGTGACAACTTAAATTCAACAGAAAGCCTACCGTGTCTCCTTAAATGGAATAATTTAGAGTCACTGTACTGTCATTTAGTATCATTATCATCTTAGTATTGTTTAAGGCCTTTTTTAATCCTGCACAACAGTTGGTCCCTTTCTTCCATTCTGTGAGAATATGGAATCCTCTTAATTTGCTTTACTCCCCTTGGAATTTGCTGACCTTACAAAATGATCAGAGGGGA